TCGTCATTCTTCGGAGAAGTGCTACACACTTATGCCTGAAGTGGGTATGCGCCACAGGTAATAGGTGATCAAGAACAAGATTTTGTAATGGGTTGGAGCGTTGCATGACCTGCTCATTCCGCGATTCTCAATGTGTGACGCCTGGTTTTTCTTTTGGTGTTCTAAAACGCTTTATTAACCGTAATAACGCGATTCCTTTTCCTTACATCAAGCTGGGCTATGACCAGTTTCGAAACGAGTTCCAAGTGCTGGTGTGGTTCAGTGGTAAAATAAGGGCTGGGTAGAATAAGGGCCGGTACGCAGAGGACTTATGTATGCATCCCGTTGCCTACTTGGTGTATTTCTATATACTGAGTTTTAATTTATTACTTGCGATACTGGTTACGATACAACGCCGCATGTGTGCGATACAACGCCGCATGTGAATTGTGTTGTGATATAACAGCTTGCGGTGTCATATCGCGAAACGACGGGTTCGACCTCGGGAGGTTTGGAGAACATGAACCAACCAATAATACAACGGTGAGGTTCGATACGATGGATGATATTATATCACTTATTAGGGACGACGGTGATTCATTGACGTGTGCGGCCATCCAATATACTAAGGCACTGAGGAGCCGCCACGCAGAGCATGCGGCCGCTCATTTTACCACGGTCTGTGCACTGTTTGTTTCGTTCAAAACCCGTTTGAGAGCGCTGCATGCCAGTTGGGGAAGAGCGCGGTCACGTGCTTCTATTTCTTATTTTCCGGGGTTTCTTTAGACGTCAGAACAAAACCACCACGTAGTTGTGCGTCGTTCTAAATGAATGGATTGATCGTGTTGAGAAGCGTTATACAAAATAAGAAAACATACTTCGTCCTGAAGTTAACTTTATTGCATAAATGATTTCGGTAAATAAGTAATGAGGAGCAATATGAAAATGCCTTGACGAGTGTCACATGACGGCGAACCATATGTCCATATTTCGGCAAAATGTGGAACTCACTAAAACTCACCCAGAAATATTCTCTTCCCGGCTTAAGTGGAACCACAGTGAGTGAGTGAGGTAGAACTTTACTGACAATGTCGGGCAGCATTGTGTGGGGTGGGGATACAAGAACCTCAGCCTAGGTGACGTCCTCGAGTCCTTGGACACAGGTGACGGCCAGGGCGTGCCGGACGGCCCACAATTGATCAGTGAGGTCATGGCTGAGCCAAGCCGCCTTCCATCGCGCCTCGTCGTTCAAGACTGTCACGTATAGATGGTTCAGAACAGACTGTTGCTCGCTACCGGTACACTCCCACAGCATGTGCTGCAGTGTCGCTCTGGATCCACACGCTTTACAGTCGTCTGATGTATAAATGTCTGGGCAACAGAGCCGTAGGATCACTAGGTTTGGGTATGTGTGTGTCTGTAGTTGTCTCCAGAGTCACGAAAAACTTCCTCAAGCGGTCTCGCTCGGACTGCGATTGGCGGATATGTTCAGCAAAGTGTCATCCATGATTAACCAAAATATTAATCACTCCTAGCCACTTAATGGCTCAATTTAGGTTTGTGTGAGTGAGCCGACTCTCGAGTCCAACAGCGCACAATTTCTTCTGCGAGTCCATCGGCGCACAATTTGTTCTTTTGACCATAGTGCTCTTCATCGCCAATCACTCGGAAATGCGGCGCTCTACTAGGGGCCCGTTGATCTCGTACCTTTATGTACGAGTTATGAGAGGTTTCCAGTCAGGAAATTTAGTCAGGAAATTTTTACATAAACAGATGACTCACTAGATACTAATACCAGCAAGTTTTAATGAAAGAATTGACGAGGTGAAGATCAGAGCCCCTCTGCGTAACTTACGCCTCTGCTCAAAAATCATTGAGCTGGCGTATGAACTGTAATGCGTTGAAGCATGTATGAGGAAAAGTGAGTGTAAACGTGAACCGACGTACGGATGATAGTAATGCGGAAGTGGAAAGGATTGGACCCTAGGTCAGCAAAAACTGTGGAACGCAGTCAGGCTCACTTAAGAAGTATATTTTTCGCTCAGGGTTTACCCGAATTCAGACTCACTAGAGAGAGAAAATTAGGAGAAAGGCGGGGAGGTTAACCAGTGCAGAGCTACGGTATCGAACTGACTCGAAGCTGAACTGATCAAGTTCACCTTGGCGAACACAGGCTAGCTCTCACAACTCTATCTGGGTGTGTGGGAGTGAAGTCACGTTTCAGATTGCCCCTCCAACTTATGTTGTTGGTGTCATTCATTTGAGGTTAGCCACTTGAAAAATATTTGATGCTAGTTGCCTAAAACACGCTGCATGTCTGAGAAAAAGTGATTTCCACGACAGAGCGCACCCACACGGTGCGAAACTCTTCGTTACATACTCCTTGATATGGTGCGTATACACTACCTCCTCAGAACAACTACCAGTCGGCGTAGCGGCCGTAACGATGTCATCTTACTGTCTGCATTTTCCGCAACAATTTACCTTAACGCAATGAAGCCGTTTTTTTTTTCTAGTGTCATACACGCTAAGCTTTTTTTGCAGTTAACAGGCCAGCATACCCACAGACCCCAATGTAGAAAATGAAAAACTTTCGCGCTGTGGAAACCCAAAGAAACTGATGATGCGTTGGTGGCGAAATGAGATTTACCCGATAGGTTAGTACAGTTTGATGAAATCAAATCTCAAGTGATCTTACGGATGCACTGTTTAAAGCGTCTTTTTAGTATATGTTGCAGCAGTATTACTTAGGTAGCTCTCAGAAAACCACCAACGTAGTGCAGGACTGCTCGGTTTTAATTGAAACGGAGACATAACTGAATTTAAAGTATTTGCTGGAGCTCATTTCTCTTCACCGGCAGCATATTGGTCTCACGCTTCAGCTGGATTTTATGCCTTATGTCCTGTTTTCATAATGCGACTTGTTGGGCGCACATGCAATAATGCGAACGTACAACGTTATACTGCAGATTGTATAGCGATATTCTGATGTGCTGCGTCAAATTTAAATAATCTTTTAAGTGCGTCACAATAAAGGTAGTTTTGAGTTACGGCAGTAGGCGTAAGTGAATCAAGCTCCAATGCATGTTTTTGTCCTCTTCATTATTCGTCGTTAAGAATGAACTACCAATGCGTCCATTCACTGCGCGCAATAGATTCACTCTCCTTCATTTTTTACCTTACAATATGCATTGTTCTCGATATATAACTGAAACAGCCAGGTAGCTATTGGGGATCGCACTGCATGCTGTTCGAATCATCTCTGTGGCCTCAATTCTCTCTCACCTGCGCCCCTGGCCCTAAAGTTACCAGGATGTCTATATATGCGCAAGTGGATGAGCCAGTGAGTGACGTCTTTATGCGCGAAGGTGGATAGATGTACAAATTATGCATTATAATTTCCGCGTTCATACATCTTTTGCAAACTATGCAGCTCTTGCGGTGTGCTGTTTTGCTTTTGGAATGATGCATACTTTTAAAAACAATATCTGCATATGATGCCAGGCTTACGTCTGTAAAGTTGACTTTTTATTAACCCCTGTTCTGCATTTGTTGGATGGGCCAATGTCATTACTATTTGTCTGAGTTATTGCACTTTCGCGTATTGCTCAGCTAAACGTCAGCCAATATTCAGCCAAGAGGATGGGCGTACGTGTTATTTCATGTAGCCTTAGCGTATAAGTGCAGTCTCGAAATGTAAATATTTTGTGGGTTGCTTTTTATTTCAAAGAAATAGGCGTAGCAGTTGCACATAAAAATGCAAGACTGGTAGAGAGAAAGTTAAAGTTTCAAACGCGGCACTCGGGCTTCGCCGATCATTCTCACTATGGATAATTTGTGTTTCAGAATGATATAAGTGAGAAGGGTTAAAAGGTCTCTTATGTCGGTTAAGTTAAAAGGTTAAAAGTTTTGATTTCTGTTCCTTTTAAATTGAGAAACGCTAACAGCCGGCAGGCAGTACCTCACTAAGTGAAAGCACGTGTTCCAGGAAAAAGTAAAGCATCACCAGTGGAACACTTACTTCTCAACGTCTTCGTGCAGAGGCGATTGCTAAGGTTGAAAAACTTAATTATTGTTCCTTTCGTTGTTTGTTTTTATTTTTGGCAGACTAACCAACTTCATATTACCAAGATCTCTCTGTAAGTCTGAATTATTCGCGTTAGGGAGAGGCAATTTGAAGGGACTGAACGCTTATATCTTATCAGCAATCTATCTGCTACTATGACCATGCAGTGTGAAAGTGAGGTGCAATCACACGACAATTTCGATGTTTCTATGGTCTTTCACATAAAGCCAGGCTTTCTACTATGTTGTTCGTGGGCTTATACGAAGAAGACAGATGGAGATAAAGAAAAATAGTAGAAACAAAAATTGGTGAAGATTTTACCAAGCCCCGCAACGCTTGAGACAGCGAAACTGGGCGCCTTTAAAAATTAATCTTCTTGCTTCTAGCTTGCTTCTAGCTTGCTTCTATAAAATTGATCTAGGTGATGCTATAATTTGTTTTTACGCGACTGCGGGTGAAACTGTGACTTATTCGATAGCTGGGTTATAGGGCGAAGAGCAAAAACAGCTATTCGCTGTTAATAATAACCGCCAATAACAGCATGGTCCCGTTCGCCTTTCATGTGGGATTGGTGGGGAACTGCTGGAGCATCCTTCTACGCAAATTCTACTGAGTAAAAAAATTTCATTTCATTTATAAAAGTACGCTGAGGCGGTGTAGTGGTTACGGTGCACGGCTGCTGAGATGTTCGCGAGTTCGATGCAAACTACGGTGGTGGCGTTTTGGTGCAGCCGAAATACTATGGATATGGAAACCCATGGATTGTTTGGTGTCGGTGCCCGTTAAAGATCACCAGATGGTGAAAATTTCCGGAGCCCACCTCTGTGGCGTCCGTCGTGATCGTTTCGTCGATCTGATATTCTTACCTTTAATTTATAAAGTTCTCTATTACTGCACGTAGAAGTGTCTTCGCTGTACACTTGAATGAAATCTCTTTTGCGTTTCTTTCTGTCAGTCCTGGATGCGGCGGGAAAGCCTGCGGGCGGAATCCTGACGGGCACGCTGACGGCCTTCGGCTCGTACGACCAATGCGTCGCCATCGAGGCCCGAGACTCACCGGCGGAGGAGCCCCGGTTCACGGGCCGCTACTGCACCGTCGAGCTGAGGCCGCCCATACCAAAGCGGCCGCGCTACTACACGCTTCACGACCAAGTGCAGCTCTTCAACAACACCACCAGAACCAAGGTATGTGTTCACATTGAGGTGGCAGCAGAATAGCAAACAGGACACGAGATATGATGAGGAAATGCGGTGTTGATTGTGATTTTTCAAGAGGCCGTGTTAGCCTGGCCTACATATCCGGCAATCGTTTCGCCTGAGCATCTCCTGAACTGTCGGTATGTGCCAGCACGTGTTCGAGAGCCAATTATTTTGCTAGAAGGCAATCGAAATTCGTTGCGCACTTCTTCTTGTTGTCACGCGCCCATCAGGAAAAAGGACATCTTCAAGTATTTGTTGCCCATGACCACCTCTTTGGAGGCTGCGTCGATTAACGCTCCTTCATTTTGGAACTGCGGGCAAACCAGAGGCAAAAATTCTCAATGTCTGTGACGTCACCGCATTAAACACTAAACCGGGAAGCGCATCACCCAGTCTTGAATGACCATACCGGGGTGTCTGCAGAATTAGTTCTGATTCGGTACAACAGAGCCACTTGCTCTAGGGAAAGTCAGCTGAATACATATGCTTGACGTGGAGTCACGTGGATCTCCTGAAGTGATTGCAAGTTACGTCTTTGTTGTTCCGATAACTTGTTCGAGCTCTTACTTTTGTCAGCGCTTCGCGTGCAAGAGCAACAGCGCTTTCGTTGCCCACAGTATACGTAGGCTTGGTAGCAAGAGAAACTTTACATTCTTGCTGTCGCCAATCAGACGTTTACCGAGTGCAAGAAACTGTTGTGGTGAAAGAACGCATTGTTAGTAGCAGAACCTGCTGTGGCGCGTACTCATAAGCGCATTGAATGGTCAAGTTCTGATGGAACTCCACTTGTCTCGTCTTGGCAATTTCTCGCGTGCTCTTGCCACGAACTTCGAATGAGCTACAAAAAAATAGTTCTCGTCTCTTGTTTTTTTCTTTTTCCGACATCACGTCAAACGCCATTCACTTAACAACTCATCGCTTGCATTATTTTCTCATTGACGGGTGAGTACCCGGCATGACTTATTTGAGCAAAGGCAGGAAATTTGGCGTCACAATTGCGCACAACTTACTATAGTATACAGCTGCTTCAGAATTTTGCCAGAACGTGGTGAACACACAAGTTTTCTCCTGTGGAACTAAAAGGTCATGTAGATAGCGTAAGAGAAGCGTCAATGGTTGCCGTGTACCTTGCTTCGTCCCATCTAACTTAGACAGTAGTGAATCACGGGTCACCACACTAGTAATCAACTCATCATTAAGTTTACTTGTTTTATGCCTAAACTTTTGTTTATCCGATAATTTTGCCGTACGTTTACACGCCGTTATTCACGTAAAAGAGCTGCAGCGTCACAAATTCTGCAGGCATTCTCTATTATAATTGCAAGGGTATGAGCTCAGGTGGTATTTACTGCACGCGATGAGCCTTCGTGGAGGCCTACGTATTTTCTGGAAGCCTATCTGAAGAGTAGACAGTGCAAAAGTCAAAACGGCAGAAAATCGGGGACCGTGCTCTTGCTTTCGGACGGCACGGTAATCTCGATTCCCGATTTGCCAACACCAATCTTACTTTCTGTTTCTTTTTGCTGAAGCTTAGGGTAGGATCCTGTCACAAGAAAAGAAAAAAAAACGAGAAAGGACGAAGGAAACAAAAGTGACGTGACATGGCCTGACCGAGCGTCTGCAATGATTTCACTGTCTTTGTCTTAGTTCAGGCTTTTTTTTCTGTATATACATTCGGAACATCGCGCCCCAACTTGCCAAACAATGCGTCTTATTAGTCTAACCTGATGTAGAAAGAGGCAGGGTCTGTCAGATTACCGCGATAATCCCACGAACAAAAATAACTGCGCAGAGACCTAACTTTTAGAGTTGTCTATGTGATGATTAAATGTAAAGCTCATATAGGTTGCAATAGGTCCAATAACGCCATTTTGTAAGGCCAATAGCAAGGCGTCTTCTATGGTTCTTTAATTATTTTCGTAACGTTCATCAGCCCCTCGAACGGCTCCCTCAGAATGCATTCCGCGAAAATTGAAATGCGAGTGCAACCTCCAATTTCTGCAAGTCTCAATTTCGCTGATGTGTTTCATCCTCCGCATTGGTTATTTCTCGTCGACCTAATGAGAGATAGCATACCAAATCCACGAAACTCAATGAAATTTTATGGAAAGTGTTTTCTTCTTACATTTTTCTCTACTTACATTTGGGGTTCACATTTATTCACATTCTCCAAGCGTGGATGTGCAGCCTAGTGGACAAGATCCTCGCTGTCAGACCGTAAGGATCCGCATTTAAGCCCACCTAACAAAGTTATTTTGTTTTAATGCCCTTGTAAACAATTATCATGTTGCGTGACAGAGGGGGATGCGGGTGAAGTCCATGCCTCTGTCACGCTGCTGTCGCCCTGCCGAAGCGATCTCTGAGGTCACACAGAAACAAGCGCGTGGTTGAAATCGGCTCCGCCCAGTGTCGCAGTGGTCCGAGCTCCTCACATGAAAGCCGTCTTCTTCACTTTCTGTGAACTCATTCAAACAATGTTCGCTAATAATCCCGGCAGTTAAATGACCCTTATTTTAATGACGCTTATGTTTCGATGTCATATGTATCGGACATGACTATTACCTCAATCTAGAACCATCGTTTAATACAAAATTTATTTATAAGGAGTCTTTTCATGAGTATTCAGAAACTCGGAATCACTCTGAAGGGAAATAAGGCTGTCGCTTGGGGCCCATGTCACTGAAGATCTATTTCATAAGTCCTAGCACACGTTTCCTTGGCTTGCGCTAGTTGCGATCACGTAGAGTTCTGGTGTGACAATGGTTATATTATTGTTGCTTGAATCTGCAGGCACGACATGCCAGAAGTGACCACATATATTATTACGCCAATCTTAATTTTGTACGTGCGTCCGCAGCATGGCCAGATATGGAGCATGAACAGATGTAAGGTAATGGCGTACGTGATAAGGTAAGGCACTCAGACTTTCCCAGTGCTCATGCGCATAATGATGCTAGTATGCTCACTGCAGACCTCGCAGGCGTAACGTAGCGTATGTGTGCTCTTGTGGGTTGTTAAGATTTAAACATGGCCCGAATATTGCCGCGTGTCAGGTGATATTACTCATCAAAAGATGTGTTTATTGTTGCCTCTCCCGCGCTTATACGCAGCGCAGCTAAAAAGCCGACGTGTTGGCCATGATTATGGCAATGCTCGGCAGTGCTCTGGAGGCGAAGTCTTAGAACGGCGCGGCGATTGCTTCAATAACCTGAAAACTCTCTGAGCCGTCTCATCGGCCAATATAACGCACTTGCGTAACATTCCCCCATAAACTATCTGTATGTTGCCATGTGTATGATTTTACGACATCGAAATACTTCATCGGCAGGACTTCGAGACCACGTATTCAGAATGCTCGTTGCTGAGTTAGGTGCTAATATTGTACTACTAAAGAATAATGTAATAAGCGCGAAATGGGGGCGCAGGTCTGATTTGCGAACAGCAAGATGAAGTAAGCCTCTTTGAAGTAAGCGTTTGTCTAGTTCACTTGTTTCTAGCGGGTTCGTCATTTTCTCGTTGACCTCTTTAATCCTGATCTTCACGGTAACGTGGCTTTTTTATGACACTGCTTTGAGTTTGCGTAGAAACCCAAAGCGTAGATAAAAGATAAGCGCACTTTACGTTCTCGTATGAAAACAGCGAAATTGGTGTGATCATATTGTAAGTATATTTGTTATGGTACCATCAACGCGTCACCCAGTTTACAGGTAAGCCGATTCCCTCCTAGATATAAGAGAACCTTTTGTGCACTTGAATCATTATAGGTTAACAAGTTTTCGATCATTGTATTCAGTACAACAAATTAAAAAAAACAGTTAGACTTCATGTAGTTATGAATTAGTCAAGCCCTAAGTGAAGAGCAGCACAAAGATTGTCCTGTTTATTCGTTGTAAGCTTGAAGCTATGCGTCTTACAGCCGGTCCCAACTCCTCCTGACAACATAAGTTTTTACTGGAGTGCTAAAAAAAGAAGATATAGCTTGTTATTTCACTCCTTCTTGCGTATGCACTTATCTTTTCCAACCCTCTTAGAGAGCGAAATATTACGGACCATATATCATGATATATAGGGCTTTATGGTGTAAGAGCCAGTGATAAACAAAGAGTGCCCTGAAAAATAAACACAATTTACGGGATTCCCGATTTCTAGATTAGTACCATGGACTTGAATACGCGTCGCCATGCCTTGAGAAATCTTAAAAGTAATGTAACAGGCTGACAACTTGTTTCATTTTTCTTTGGTGTTTGCTTGCACAGCTCGATAATGGTTGGCTTTTCTTTACACTGGACTATTGCAAAACAGCTGCTTGTATATGGCATCTGCATCACTTAATTTTGCGAACCCCTAAACAAACGCTACATCGTAGCACAGCGCTCGTAAAGGGCCTCTAAACAACTCCGAGTTCCAAAACGACAGAGTGGTTTCTGTCTCACTTTTGCTACCCTTCCTACAAACGTAATTTCCTTATCGCACGCATTTCTTTAAATAAACTCGTGGGCTTTGTCAGATAGAGATAGATAGATAGAGAAAAGCGAAGCAAAGGCAGTGACGAAGTGAAAGCAGTTGATCGCACACGATAGCTATGCGATACTGGGCATAACGAGCGTGCGACTGCATGACAAATTGGACTAGGACACAATTTCCGATTGATATCCCTCGTATATGGACCACTCGAGAGCTTACTTATTCACGACATCACGTGAACAAACTGCTGGCGTCACAAATTGAGACGAAAAAGCGGGAAAAGCCGAGACAGAGTAACGCGCTCGTCTTTTCTATTTTTAGCGGTTGTTTAAGTGTGCTTTGAGACGAGGCTTTAAACATGGGCAAAAGACAAACCTCCTGTTGAATTGCAAGTAAAATACAAAAAGAAAAGGTTTCATTATAGGCAATAGCTCGTCCGACTGAAAACAATCTTGTTACAATTAAAGGCGAAAGACAAGCTCTCGTGGTTTTTGAAAACGTTCCCAAAAGTTGGCGAGCTT